CGTGGGGCCGTTGTAACTTTTGCACTCGCACTCGCTCTCGCTCTTACACTCTCACTCAATCGTTTGTTCGGAATACAGCTGTTGTGTTCCCTTCTGTGAGTCTTTTCTCTCTGACGCTGGGCACTGGAGCGGGTCAGCACCAGATACCTCGGATTTATGAATCAGCAGATATAACAAATAGAATTCAACTTCTCATCTTGTCAAGGTTGAAACTTCGGCTTCTCCCGGTGGAGACAAATGATACACGTTGGCCAATTTATTGGGCCTTGTGGACTCCTAGCCACAACTAAGTTCGTTCACCTGTGCGTTATGATCGTCACGGATTCCATTTGACTAGCCGGTTAGGTATCTTGGACCCCCAGCCGCGTGCGGATAGTGCGCGTTAGCTAGGCTCGTTCAGCTGTCGAATGTGATCAACGTAGGTTTCATGTGGCCAGTTCACCAGGCATCCAGAACCTTGATAATTCCACACTACTATCAATCAGCGTACCGGAAACTAGATCTGCGACCGGTGTTCATTACCAGATACAGCCTTATGCTCGTGATACCTGCCCATGATACCTACCACGAGTTTCCAATAATGAAACAGGAGTGAAACTCCGTCATATGTTGCGTTCACTCGCGCTCTAGCAAATTCCATAAATCCACAGCTGTGCGACTACCTATCGATTTCGCCCATTTTAAGGGGTTTACAGTTTACCCGTAATCGCGATAACTCATCACAATTATTTGCCATTTTTCAATTCGACGTAATCGATGACCCTGAGTGTTCGCTCACTTAAACAAATTGGTCATACTGAGAATTGTAAGAACAACCCATGAGACATAGACGTTTCTAAATATGAAGTGGTAACTTTGGAAACGAAGCCATTTTTGAGAAGTCGAATCCATCTGCGAAAACTGAGCGGCGTGCGTACGTGAGTGCCAGTATATTGACCAATCCGTGCACTCCCACGTTTGGCCCATAGCTGGCTCGCGACATGTTCGTCCGTTCGGTTTGTTGGGCCAATCGCCCCCGGAACGGTCGCCCAGAAATCCCAAGACCCTGGGGTTCAAATAGTCCCGCGGGGGACCTTGGGGTACGGGAATTTTCGGATGTTTTCCTTTCCCACGTAGGTGGAAGAACTTTACGGATGTTTTTTGGAGATTGAGTGGTGAGAATGCAAGCTTAAAAACCCGAAGGTTTGTGATCCGAACTCAACCCTGGCGGAGGCAGAAGTGGTCAGCTTTTAGCCTGGTCGACGGAAGTGGAATCTACTTCGAAAAGTCTCGGTACTGTTGGTGCGACTTTCCTTCAGGGTTTGGGTCCGACTGATGCTATCACCACAAGCTGGTAAACAACCTATTGTTGGTTCGTCTCATGTGCAACGGTATAGTTATACATAGTCGCTGGATGGCGCTTTAGGTACCACTGGTTTGTCGACAATACTTGCAGCGCCTGCATACAGAAGCCGTGTGAGTCACCGGAGATTGCATTATAAAACCGTTACATCTTGGGCAAATGGAGTGTAACCTAAACAAACGCTTAAAAACAGTTGCAGTGCACATAAACCAACACAAGGTGACAATTTTATTCAGTGGGCTCCTCATATTAGGTCAGAAAAATAACAAAAAATCGAAAGGTGGTAATAGTGATATTCACTGGGTCCGCGTAATCCTCCCGTGTCTGGTTGCATAAGCCGCAAGGCGTGTTTTCCAATCAATATAAATGGGGTTTCCATAGCTAGTTTCCATCCAGGTTGACTGAGTGTGTGTCTGGAAGTGTAGGGAGCTCGAAATGAGTGTGGTACGCCAACGTAAGTACTTTCCTCATTCACGTATTCCTTTCACAATAAGACTTCAAATAACAAATTCGCTGCCGTACATTCACGACTCAAATTGTGGTTTAATTTGAATTTAAATTATGTGCTACTAATGGCAGTGATGAGATTCAGTTAAACTGAGCAACCGTAAACAATGTCCCATGCCACGTTCCAGGGGTTACAGTTTCGGTCATCGGAAAGTCGGACCGTGAAAAAGGTACAGCTTGGCATTGCAAGCGGTGGCGTAATCGGCTAGTCCATACTGAGTCCGTTTGGGAGGGGGGGTTGGCGGTAATGGAAACTGGACGGTTCTGTATTGAAGGCGATAGCTTTGATGCAGGAGCGCCACTGGCCGCGTGACTGCCGTGCCTGTCAGTACGATTGATGAGTTCAGTCCTAGGGGACCTACTGGGTTTGCTGGTTGCCGGGTTGTAGAGTGCCCACCTGTTGTACTATTTCAACTAGCGGAAGGCTGAGTAAGGAGGCCCCCGCGAGTTGCGTTGTCCTCTGGTATGCGAAGTACATGTCTTAATTAGAGTAACCTATGGAGCATGAATAGCTCATTTATCGCATGCGAGTTCCGTTTTAAATCCAGCTGGAGTAACAGCGCGGCTGACCCGGTTCGCTTACCGGAGTCAACCACTTCATCGGAGACACCCGTTATCAAGCTTCGAAAGCTTTCTGGCATCATCTGCGCGTATAGGTCACGTTTCTGGTCGCGGGATAGATCAGTTGCTAGGGCGGTTATTGACCGAAAGACCCGTGGTCCGAACCGGACCTCTGCCTCTCGACTTCTGTCTAGGTTTGGCAACCTGGCAGTATCACAGCCCTCGTATTTCCTTCTGGTGGCATGGCAGTTAGGCACCGAAAGGGTGCTACAGCCCTACAATTTTCTGGTCTCTCCAGTTTGTGATTCCAGTTTGTGAAGTCTCGTCCAAGCACGCTTATCTACTTCGTCCACCGAAAGGTGCTACAGCCCTACAATTTTCTGGTCTCTCCAGTTTGTGATTCCAGTTTGTGAAGTCTCGTCCAAGCACGCTTATCTACTTCGTCGTTTGACTGGCTCGTAGGAATGATGGGTACACTCTGCAAGTATGATGCGCATACCAAATGCGCGACAGTACCATTTAGGTAATTTGAAATGACTTGACCTTTAAAAGATCTGCATACTCAGTGTTTGTGAGTGAACGCTTCGGAAGCTCTTAAAGGAAAGCTCCCAACGTTGGACTTTTGGAAGTGTGGCCTTGTTTAGGGACCCTTTCTAAGACTAGAATATGGTCGAAACATCCACAGTCACGGCAAAAACCCAGTTTTATTTTCATGGTCACCATTGTTAACAACTGGTGCTTCGCTATCGTACAACTGTCAGCTTATTTAAGTAAGACGTTATTGGGGAAAGAATAATAAATGGAGCGAGGAGGGGACTTAGACTAACCTACCGCAAACACTACATCCTGGAAGGCGAAAAAAATGCACCAAGACTTCTCGCAACATCCTTCACTCCCTTCTGTCATGTCAAATCCTGCCCACCCGTAGGTTTACACCACTGTTTATCTGGCGCGGAAAACAGCGCTCGTCTGCGTACGCGGTAACTCAGAATATCTACTTCGTGGTTTAGCCACCCTAACTTACACCGATGGATGCATTCACTGAGGGAGGTATCGTCTTCTCCACCCAAAAGCATGTTCCTGATCCCTTTTCCGAACTAACTGAACATACCATCGCCCTGAATACTTGCCAATATTTTCCACGCTTCTCCACCTACCGGTGGTCGAAACTGTGGCAGCGGGAACCAGTGTACCCATGGTATATGGCTTATGACTGATAAATCAAATTGAATTCATTGTTCCAGTTGTCTGTTTTCACTTAGCTACCCTGCTGTATACAGGAAGCAAGGCGACCCGACCCGGATGATGGCGCCACACAACGGCCAACATTATTCGTGAGTGTGCGGTCCACGGCAATACGTAGACTAGGATAGTGTGGAGGCGTCCAGGCCTAGACAGGAAGGCCCTGAATCAAAGCGTTTGGCTCAAAAGCTTAGCCGCAAGGCAGTGGTGGTTGGAATGGCTTCATCATCATCATCATTGTCAGCTGTAAGAACCGCGTACTCGTCGTGCACTGGTTGTAGCTGCCACAGTTTCGTTCACCGATGACTGGGGGGGGGTAGGTAGCTGCGCATTTCACGCGCGAGCTGGTAAATTGGTGCATAAATCCAGCACTGTCAGTGGGTTGTCAAGCGGAGGTGGGTGGAAAAGGAGCTATGCATTGAGGGCAATAGCTCTAATGCATAAGCGCCATTGAGGGCGCGACTGGGCCATGTCTGATA